AGACTCGCTTGAGCCCAGGAGTTGGAGGTTGCTGTGAGCTGTGATGCCATGGCACTCTACCCAGGGGGACAGCTTGAGGCTCCTGTCTCAAAAAAAAAAAAAGAATTGAACTGAGATTTGAGCTGCTTTCTACCTCGAGTGAGTTGGTAGTTCAAGTGTAAACAATTTGATTGCTTGCTAAAATAAAATCATCAACATCTTTGGATGCCCTTATAAATTAACACAAATTTAGTGGCTTAAAACAACACAGGTTTATTTTCTTAGGGCTCTGACAGAAGTCTGAAATTGGTTTCACTGGGCTAAAATCAAGGAAGTAGGGTTGCTAACCAGATGATTTTATAATAGGGAGATTATACTGGATTATCCAAGTGGGCCCAATGTATCACAGAGCTTTTTAAAACTGAAAGAAGGTGGTGGGCCTCAGTGACTTACGCCTGTATGTAATTCTATCACTCTGGAGACTGAGACAGAAGGTTCACTTGAGCTCAGGAGTTCAAGGCTAGCTTGAGTGTTGGGGGCCCTAACAAGCCCCACATGGGCCCTTCTCCTTCCCTCATCCTTCCTCTTCCCCTCCCCCATCTACTCTTCTAAAACAGTGGTTCTCAACTTGTGGGTCACAATTCCCCGCCTTTTTTTTTAGAGACAGAATCTCACTTTATCACCCTCGATAGAGTGCTGTGACATCACAGCTTATAGCAACCTCCAACTCCTGGGCTTAGGTGATTCTCTTGCCTCACCCTCCAGAGTAGCTGGGACTACAGCCTGCCACAATGCCCGGCTATTTTTTGTTGTGATTTGGCTGGGGCTGAGTTCAAACCTGCCACCCTCGATATATGGAGCGGGCGCCCTACGCACTGAGCCACAGGCACTCAGTGACCTCGTGACCCCTCTTTAACAATGAAAATACATGCAGCATTAGGAAGGTTGAGAAACCACTAGAACAAAATGCCCCCCTGGACCCACCCCAAGAGTTCTGTCAGGAAGATCCTAGCCCACCAGAACCTTCTAGCAATCTGTGGAATCTTCCTCTCCCTGTGCCCAGTATAAAAAGAGGCCTCAACAGCCCTTGGTGCACACACAATCTTTAAATTGCCCAGGTGGTTTTCTGCCCCTTTCAATAAACCTGGCTAAACCTCTCACTCTCGGAGCTCCTTCTCTACCTTTCACTGAGCAAGAGTGAGACCCTTGTCTTTACTAAAAACAGAAATATTAGCTGGGTGTTGTGGCAGGCACCTGTAGTCCCAACTTCTTGAGAGGCTGAGGCAGGAGGATCAATTAAACCCAGGAGGATGAGGTTGCTGTGAGCTAGGCTGATGCCAGGATACTCTAGCCTGGGTGACAGAGTGAGACTTGGTCTTAAAAACAAAACAAAAAAAGGCCAGGTGCAGTGGCTCCTATAATCCTAGCACTCTGGGAGGCCCAGGCGGATGGATCTCCTGAGCTCAGGAGTTGGCGATCAGCCCAAGCAAAAGCATGACCCGGTCTCTACTAAAAATAGAAAAATCAGCCAGATGTTGTGGTTGGGGGTGTGCCTGTAGTCACAGATACTCAGGAGGCTGGGGCAAGAGGATCAATTGAGCCCAGGGGTTTGAGGTTGCTGTGAGCTATGACACCATGGCACCCTACCCAGGGCAACAAAGTGAGACTCTGTCTTTAAAAAAAAAAAAAAAA